TTATTTTACTTTTTATTTTACTTTTTATTTTACTTTTTATTTTACTTGTAATTGCAAGCTGTTCAACTACACAGAAACCAATCAGTTATTGCCAAGCTGATGAACTTTGGTATCCATGTCTGGTCACTATTGCACAAACCGATCATCTGTTGGTCAACCAAATCTCTCCCACTGTGCGCATGCCCTAGTGTGTGCTGCCTACAAACATCTTCCCTTATTACTTGAGCAAAGAAGCAGTGGAGACACCAGGCATAATAGGTTTCAGTAACTTCGTTTTAAAAATGTAGCAATTCTTTCCAAAATGCTTGAATTTAAAACTGCCCTTTTTCCATTTTAGTACATGATCAAAAATACAAAAAATAAAATATGGTCTTTACAGCGGTGAGAGGAAATGATGCCTCCATTTGTGCCCTGTGTGCCTCTTTTAAAGCAGGATTCCAGCATTAGGTTTTTTATAATCCAAGCTGATCTGCAGTTGGGCATGTTTGATAGTTTCCATCGCCTCTGGCTTTATACTTTACATTGAAGTACTCCTTACCTGAATGGTCTTAGTGGAACCTCCTGCTTGTACAACTTTCATATTTGACTCTTCAGTTTGGATATCATGTTATGTTTCAGAAAAGCCCTGCTATTAAAATGTGAAGAAGAATCGCAATTTTCTTCATTCACCATGATGGCCTGGCCAATCCAGATTCCACTGTTATATAAGGAAAATTGGGTAAAAATTATGCATAGACTTGCATTTCTGTTGGATCCTGCACAGGTTCAGGAAGTCCCAAAGCACTGTACAGCCAATGAAATGCATTTGAAGCGGAGTTGCAGTTGCAACATAGGAAGATCTCTTGATAGTCCTTGTTTAAAACATGAACCAGGTGAGGAAAGGGAATTGGCTCCCTCTTCCCCCTGACAGTCGCAACAAATGTTTTTATTTCCTTTTAACATGCGGTTTTCACACTTAACTGAAATTAATTAATTAGATCACGAAGGAGCCAAATTGCAAGATTTTCTTGAGAGGAAGAAAAAGAGGAATTTTATTACTACTAATCCCAAAAACAGCGACACCAAATACAGATAATAAGCTCAAAAGGAATGTGGTGGAATGTTTTTAGTACAGACATGAAGATAAAGGTGATTGTAGTTTAAAGTTCTTAAAGTTGTGTAGGAGTTAGATTTTAAGCCTAATGTTAGTTGATTGATAGTTGACTGGTATTCTGAAGCTGATTGTCCAAAGTCAGGCACTGACTTCAAGGCTGAGAGAGGTTTCTTGCAAGTAATTTCTCCCTGCCCCCCACCTCCTGCTGCTCAAAAGTACCTCTTTAAATATAGTTCAGTGTGTGCTCCATAGTCTAGTTCCATTGTCTTCTTTTTTTCAAACTGGATGACCTGCAGGGAATTTCATCCCAATGTGTAGCTTCCCAGAAGTTGTGAATCAAGTAGGTGAAAGAAATCTGAGTTTAAGTGCCTTTTATAATGATATTGATTTTGGTTCAGACTGATGGTTGTTTACTGATGGTTTCACGAGCTTAACTTAACCTGGTCAGGTGATCACAAAGTCAGTATACATTCTTTTTACAATCATTTTAGTCCACAAAAGGTGTCTGGTATGTCATTGAGATGTTGGAAGTTGAATATTGATATCCATTTTTGCTATGATCATAGTGCGCTAATAAATCTCCTACAGCTGGAAGTTCAACATGAGAAGCTGAAGAAATTGATGGCCAAACAAATTCTCTATGAAAATACACTGGAAAAGATCAGTGAAGAGAGACTGTCCAAGACCCTGTTCCCTGATCCAGTCACTGAATGCATTCCCCCTCCTCCCGCACAGGAATTCCAGACTGCTCGACTTCTCCTTTCACACTTTGGTTTCCTATCTTTGGAAGCGCTGAAGGTAAGCTAGTTCTTCATAAACCTTGTTAATGCCTTATTATTTTTGATTACTCATTTACATATTCTTTCCTCCTATTTCCAACTGTGTATTGAGATAGTGTGATTTGAGTGAGTGAATTTGTTTTCTGTTGCAAGATTTTGACCATCAACTCTGCCTCCTGAATTTCATAATAACAAATAACCACTGTGGGCTTTTATGCATGACTATTCAATAAACTGTTTGCCATACCCCTCAATACTGTAACAACGCATAACTTTGAATTTTTGTTCTCTATTTTATGTGTTAAAAAGTGGAAGATGTGGTTAAGTCTCATTTTTTAGTGTTTTTATGGATTTGTACTGGATGTGGATATGGGCCAAACACAGACAAATGGGACTAGTTCAGTTTGGGAAACTTGGTGGGCATGGACGAGTTGGACTGAAGGGTCTGTTTCTGTGCTGTATGACTTTGACTCTATGTTTGTTGGTAGTTAGCAAGCCCCATGTAGAAGTTGATTATCTTTTGTGGTTTTGTATTCTGATGGAAATACATCTTTCAAAAGCTTGAATTATCTGTGTTTTAAATAAGCGGTGGGATTTGCACACGACTGCAACTAGGGGATACATACATATTGAGTACAGTTTGGATTTAGTTGTACATGACATTATAATGGTACAACTCATGCACACTGCCCTCCCCCATCTACCTCCTTCAATCAGCCGAGCGATATCCTGAGAGGGGAAAGTGAACAGCGGAGATAAGGAGTCAATCTTCGACCAGTTTGAGAGAGAGATCCCTATGCAAGTTTTGAAAAATAATAGGATAGTTTTGGAGAGAGACAGTGAATGATAAAGGTGACCCCATTACCCAGGCAGCTTATAAAGGTGGTGATATCAGCCACAATCGGAAACCTGATCAGCTCCCTAAATGTATATTTACATTACATCTGCAAAAATATGAGAAACCATGGGATGGGCCAGTGAGGGAGAGACTAGTGAGGGCAGCGCCTGGCAGCAGGGTTTGATTCTAAAGCCCACACACTATATTAACAAGGCTATGAAATGGCAATTAGGAGATGGCCCGTAACAGTCTGGCATGCAGGCAAAATCAGAATGGAAAATCAAATGCAGGCTAAGGTTGACAGTTTAGGGCTCACGGCTTAAAATCATGTGACTGCAATGTATCAGGGGAAATTCACAAACCACTTGGGAGATTTCAAATTCCTTATTATTGAGTGTAAAAGTTAAACTTGGGTTTAAAAGCCTGTTTTTGTACCTCATGTCAGGGTATTCTGATAGTCAGATCAACAACTCTTCCCAAAAGCTGCTATCAGCTAACCTAGTTACGTATTGGTGCAATCTGCACTTGACCCTTCTAACTTTCTAATTCAAACGTCTATTTCTCAGGGACTGAATTGATTCCTTTCACTCTCTTCAATGTCTCAGTCAAATCTCCTTAAAGTCCCCACAAAGCCTCAGCTCCCTAATTCTGTTGTGGGCTGCATTTTAAGCTGCATAATGTTTTTCTTTGAAATTACCGGTAACTTTCCAAAGGATCACCAAAAATCTTTGAAGAGGGCTGATGGTGGCCCTGTTCCTTCATTCCCCCCTCCTCCAGTCGTTGACACGTTCAAGGCTAGATTTCCAGGTTGGGTGGACATGTGACATGCACCATGAGTTCCTTAGGCATCTGGTATGTCTGTTCAAGATCATTTCCCAGGGATTCTCTGAGGTGATGACGTGTACATTATTATCTCTGTAACTGATGTCCTTATGTCTGGTGTAATCTCAATGGTTTTCCTATCTGCTGGCACTTTGTTGTGATATAACTTTGTTAAAACAATAAATTAAGTTTTAATTTCAAATTCTGCTTCTTCCTGAAAGTCCTTACCTATAGCTTCACCATTTGGACTGCAGCTGTTCATAGTAGCAGTTTACCACCACAACCACCTTGAGGACAATTGAGGATGGGCCTTAAACACCAGCCTTTCCAGTGACACTCATCCTTATGAATGAATTAAAGAAAAGGATGGTGAGCTGTCTTTGACCGCTCATGTGCTTATTGCCCCAAGGTGACTTGTACACTCCTCTGTGATCTTCCACTAACCATCCCAAACATCATTCATTATTCTGCTATAATAATTTTCATTTATAGTTGTGTTTGAACATTTTCCTAGGAGCCAGGTAATAGCTGCCGTCCTCCTAATCTTATTGCACTTGACTCTACTCTTGCTGGATTTTTTGATGACATTGGCTACTTGGACTTGCTGCCCACCAGACCTTTTGAAACTGTCTTCATATTTTATATGAAACCTGGTCAGAAAACCAGCCAGGAGGTAAGGATCACTATTACCAATTTGCATACTGAATAAAGAAAATTATTTTACTGTTTATTTAATACATATTCTTTCATGGAATCTTCATTGCCCATCTCTAACTGTCCTTGAACTGAGTGGCCATTTCAGTGGGCAATTAAGAGACAACTACATTATTGTGAATCTAAAGTCACATCTAAGCCAGCCCAGGTAAAAATGGCAGATTTCTTTTCCCTAAAGGACTTCTTTAAAGATGGGTTTTTATAACAATTGGTAATATTATGGTAACCATTGTGGGGACTAGTTTTCAATTTCAGATTTATTAATTGAATTCAAATTCCATAAACTACCATTGAACCCAAATAGTCTGGGCCTCTGGATTACTAGTCCAGCAACATTGCCACTATGCTACTGTATCCCATTAAGGTAGGTGGAAACCTAAATAGTTTGTTAGCATTGAGATTAAAATATTGCCTAAAATTTATGGCTATATTTGTTGTTTGTTCTTGTACAGACTAACTGCCTGTATTATATATGAAGTTGCTGCATTTTCACCCAATGTCTATTGGTCTCTATTCTGGCTCCAGAATTGGTGTGGAATTCCTGTTCAGCCACCCTTTCGAAAACTTGCAGTTCCTGCCTGCAATTCTGTTTGCAATAGGTGTGCAGCTGCCTCATCTTTTAGTGAAACAGGAGAAGTCATGGCAAATGTTGGGGGTGGCAGGAGTTGTTGAAGAAAGAGTGCAGGCAAAACAATCCTGAGGCTGAAGGATGTGGCCGATGTTTAAGAGATGAGGGGAATGGTTCATCTGTCTGATTCATTCACAGTAATGACTTGTAAACTAAAAATTGTGGTGAACATTTTTGTTTTTATTCAGCAGGACTTTTTGTGACAATGTCCCAAATTATGTTTATAGAATAATGTTCAGCTCATGGCAGAGTAGTTGAGTCTCGAAATAGCTCAATAATTAATGCAATGAAATTGAAATCACTTCAACTTGGATAAGAATATAAACATAAAAATTTGGAACAGGAAGAAGCCATTTAGCCCCTCGAGCCTGTTCATTCATTAACTAAGTTTATGGCTGATTTGTTCTTGGGCTTAACTCTGTGTTCTTACCAGTTTCTAATAAATCTTGATTCCATTTTGTTTAAAGTTCTGCCCATCTCAGCCTTGAATATATTCAATGATTTGGTCATTGCACATCTCTCGAGCAGAAAATTCCGAAGATTCACGACCCTCAGAGAAGAAATTCCTCTCGTCCCCATCTTAAATAGACAACAGTTTTTTTTTTTAATTGCTTTTCAGATTTTGAAGAATGTGGAATCCTCCAGTAATGTGCAGTCTCATTTCTTGGAATTTCTCCTGTCGCTGGGATGGCCAGTGGATGTTGGAAAGCACCCAGGCTGGACAGGACATGTGTCAACCAGCTGGCTAATTAATGCATGCAATGGCAGTGAGGGGAAAGAACAAGGTATGTTGCCAAGATAACAAATAAATCCACAATTTCTGGAAATCTAACATTAAAAATACTGAAATCTGGAAATTACCTTTGTCAATGAGCACCTGTAAAAGCTAACCTTGTACCACGTGGCCACAGCACATCAAATACTTTTTGAAGTATATTAGTGAAAGGCAATTTTGCAAAGAACATTGGGATCAATAACTAGATTTGTTTTGGTGTTTACAACAGTAGGCCATTTGGTCCACAGTCCCTGTGCTGACTCCTAGTGAGAACTGCCCATTTAGACCTATTCCTCTTCTCTTTACTGAACCCTAGTTATTTTTTCTTTTATGTATTCAGTAATTATCTGTTGTCATTTCAAAGTTATCCTAGATTCTCTCTTCACCCACTGATGAGAATAGGAGGCTTTTCAGCCCCTCCAGCTGGTCAGTAAACTCATGTCTGACCTGTATCTTAACTCTACGTATTATTCTTAGTTCTACTAGCCTTACTATCCTTACCTATAAACATCTCAAAACTGAGACTGATAATTTTTTTTTAAAAAATCAAAGGACTGTGGATGCTGGAAATCAGAAACAAAAACAGAAATTGCTGGAGAAACTAAGCAGATCTGCTAGCATCTGTGGAGAGAAAGCAGAGTTAACATTTTGGGTCCAGTGACCCTTCCTCAAAACTGGCAGTTCTGTACCCAAAACATTGACTCTTTTTGATCCATAGATATTGCCGGACCTATTGATAAATTTTTTTAATTTGGTTCCTACCATTTTTGGGGGACAGAATTCCAGATTGTCACTACCGTTAGTGTGAAGAAGTGCTTCCCAATATTACTCATGAAGGACCCATCGGCTTAAATACCTCAATTGAATCATCCCTTAATCTCCTCAACTGCAGGGACTATAAGTTCAGCCTTTACAGGTCAGAAAACCTTTATCTGAAAACCTCAGGACCAATTGGTTTTTGGACAAAGGATATTTTTGCGCTCACAATAGTCCATTTAGGTTTTTTTGGAAAATAGCTTCACTTAACCCGAATGAACCTAAAAAATGGATTTTTTTTTCCTAAAGGACCCAAACCGTTCTGTAGACATTGTGTTTGGCTATTTGGGTAAAAACTTCGCTCTTAGGTCTGTGTGCGTTAAGCAATGCTTTTTTCCAAAGGGCCCAAACTTAGCCTGTCTTTTTAGGTTTTTCGGTTTTCAGATGTGTACAGATGATGGACACCTGACCTGACAAACTGTTCCAATTCTATCGCTCACATTATCCTTGATCCTTACTGAGTCAGTAATGTACCCATCTCCATCCGCTGGAATTGTGGTAGCATCAACAACATAAGGACTGCTAATAAAACCAAATTATTATGATGCTGAAAATGTGTAATAAAATTTAGAGAAACTCAGTAGGTCTGGCAGCATCTGTGAAGACAGAAACAGAGTTAACGTTTCCAGTCTGATCTGACTCTTCTTTGGAACAGTCATAATGGCTCAGTTGTGTGGGAGAGTCACTGGACCAGAAACACTAATTCTGATTTCTCCCCACCGATGTTGCCAGACCTGCTGAACTTTACCAGCACTTTGTTTTTGTTTCTGATTTCCAGCATCCGCAGTATTTGTGGTTTTTATTTAGTGCATGTGTGGCGTTAGGTTGCTGATCAGTTGTGATCTCATTGAATAGGCTTGAGGAGCTACCTGCTCTACTCCTGTTTCTAAAATCCTAGTTCAGTCTTACCAGTTATTTTGGGCAGGTTTTCTATGATCCTGCTGACCTTTTTCATTCTTTCAGAGGAAATGGTGGCACCAGATGATACTGGAGGAGGTATTTTTAATGGAGAGAAGAAAGCACTGTATTATGCTGATGCCTTGACTGAAATTGCCTTTGTCGTTCCCTCTTTCATGGAGTCATCCAGTAAGTCAGCATCCTGGAAAACTCTTTCTCCTCCTAACACAACAGAGTGTTTAGTTCACTCTTTTATCACACTGCTTTATCCTCTCTCACATACAGTGTCTGTTAGCCATAGCAAAGGAATCTTGCAATATGCAATGCACTTCCAGGGTGATTTCAGTTTTCTGTCAGATGTCCAGATAATGTAGTAATGATTCATGATTCATATGTACGTGATTCTGCTATGTTATTGGTGCAAATAATCCACCTGAAACTTGAACTTCCAGATAGCCACAGAAAAAAAAATAGTAATCCTCTTTACTTTTGGAAGCTTGTAACCAGGACAATATTTAAGATGCCAAAGGGAGAAAGATGTGCACTATTTGCTATTTATAGTGATGCCATGACTGCAGAATGCCCGTTCTGCAGTACATGGGAAGTCGTGGACGCTTTAGTGATCCCGACTCGCCATATGCAGGAAGTATCACCTAAAGATCACTATGCAAGAATGGAGCCTTCGGGGTTTCAGAGCTCAAAGCCACTTGTGTCGGTGAGGCGCATCCGTGACGTTGTGGATAGCACATTCAGAGAGGAGGTCATGCCGCAAGTTAGGGGGAGGAGATAAATAGGATGTCTGACCATTAGGCAGGGAATTCAGGAATCCCTAGAATAATTGGTTTTCTATTCTGGAATTCAGTAAGGAAGATGGATTATTGAAGAATGTAGCGAGATTCAAACCTGTGACCTAACTGTACAGGAGGCGAGGAAAAAGAGCAGAAGGACAATGCTGATAGGCGTTCTTAATTAGGGGAACAGGCATTTCTACAACCATCAACATGAATGGTTTGTTGCCTCCCTAGTACAAGGTCAGAAATGTCACAGAATGTGCAGACTATGTGGATTAGCCATGGGAAATGCGGAGTTCCAGGATTGGGGTAGGGAGCTGAGTCAGGCTGGGCTGTTCTTCAAAGAGTCAGTGTAGACTCGAGCTGAATGGCCTGCTTCCACCTTGTAGGGATTCTAGCATTCTAAGTTGGGACTCTACTCACTGAAGTTTAGAAAGAGGTGAAATTCATTGAAGCAGATAGGACTCTTAAAGGAGTTGACAGGTAGTTTCTGAGAGGATGTTTCCTCTCATGGGAGAATCTAGGACTGAGAATAAAGGGCTGCCAACTTAAGACTGCGATAAATTTCTTCTGTCTGAGAATTGAGAGTCTTTGAAACTCTTGCCACAGAAAGCTGTTAAAGCAGCATCCTTGTATACATTTAAGGCTGAGATAGATTCTTAGAGGAAAACGCAAGAAACAGGATATGAGGAATTTCTGATCAACCATGATCCTATTAAATGGCAGATGGAGGAGTCGAACGGCCTACTCCTGTTCCTAATTACCGGTATATTGACTAGGAAAGTAATAGTATAAGGGGTAGTGAAGAGGAAACGCGCCTAGATTGGGAGATGAAGAATTCTTCGCAGCAGTTTGTGTCCACTCCAACAAGAATGGAGGCACTGTTAAATCTGGTTCTTGGAAATGAGGTGGGACAAGTGGATCGGGGACAGAGATCATTGTATCATAAGGTTTAGAAATGATATTGATCAAACCAAAGAAGGAATAATCAATTGGTACAGCGCTGACTTCAATGGGACAAGAATGGAACTGAGCCTAATAGACTAAAAAATAGGCTACCTTCAAACTGGAGATGGTTCGGACACAGCCGAGTTACATTTCACCAAATGCAAAGTCAAGACAAACAAATCCAGATTTGCCTACATGACCAACAAGATAGAAATTAAGTTAAAAGAAATGTATTAATGACTAATGACAGGAAGTAAATACAATTGAGAAACAAGCCTAATGCAGAACATTCAGAAAGGAGGTGAAAAATCAAATAAGAGAAGCAAAGAGGGATTATGAAGGAAGACTGGCAGCTAACACAGAAGGAAATCCAAAAGTCATCTCAAAACACATCAGTAGTAAAGGGTGATAAAGGAGGAGTAAGGACCAAAAGGAAATTTAGACTTGGAGACAAGAAACATGGCTGAGATGTTGAATGAAAGCTTTACATCTTTACTTACAACACAGATGCTACCCAGGCCATGATGACTGAGGAGGAAGCTCTACCACTGGAAGCATTCAGAATTGATAAGGAGGTGATATTGGATAAGCTGTTGAATTTCGATGTTGGTAGGGAACCAGGACCTAATGAGATGTATCCAAGGATATTGAAGGAAGTGAGAGTAGAAATTTCAGGGGCACTGGCAATTATTTTTGTCTTTTCTGGTATTGAGTGATGGAAAGGATTGGAGACTTACAGACATCATGCCCTTCTTCAAAAAAAGTTGTAAAGATTGTCCAGGAAATTACAGAGCCATCAGTTTAACTTCACTGGTGGGGGAACCTCCTGCAAACATTTGTTCAGGATAGAATTAATAGTCTTTTGAAAAAATGTGGATTGATTCAGAAGAGTCAGCCGTGAGTTTGTTGAGGGTAAATTGTGTCTGTCTAATTTCCTGGAAATTTTTTGAAGAGATAACAGTGTGGGCTGATAAAGGCCAATCTGTTGATGTAGTACACAAGGACTTCCAAAAGGCTTTTGATACAGTGCCACACAACAGATTTGAGAGAGTTTTAGCTCATGAAGTAAAAGGGACAGTAGCAACATGGATAGAAAATTGTCTGAGAGAAAGGAGACAGTAACGATCAATGAATATTTTTTGGGCTGGAAGTTGGTTTGTATTGGAGGTCCCATTGCATTTCCTGATATATTTAAATGAACTAGATCTTGGTATGCAGGGGACTTATTGTAACAGTAAGTTTCAATTTTTAAGTTGATTAGAATGAAATGACTTCTCAACATCTTTAACTGCACTCTGTTTCTTTTTACAAAAGCTAAGTTATCCATAACTTTGCTATGTAATTTTTACCCCTCTCACCTGCTAAACAGAATATTTTTCAAATGAGGCATGGTTCATCTGCACACTTCCAGCAGGTTATAGGCAGCAGCAGGAACCCTGACTGGTTTTTGTTTATTTTCCATTTCTTTTCAATTCACAGCAAGTCTAACGTCCCTGCTGCTTCACTGATTTAAAATGTCTAACTCTGTACAGCCACGGGGATTGAGTCTGCAATATTTGTGGTTTATAAGAATCGGGTGCCCAATCTTAACTGTCAGAGGACTCAGTGAAGCTCCATTATTTGTAAAGGCAAACCCTCTCAATTGAAATGAACCTCTGTTGAGATATAGAATTGTGTTGGAAGCAGTTTGGGTCACAGTACTCTCTGGAAAGTAATACATTTTAGTTAGAATTCAAGTTAAATATTCATTTGATTGTTAAATGTTTATTTAACACAATCTTTAATTTGTAAATTAATGTCATTGCTCTGATTATCATAGTGCAGTAATTTGATTCCATAATTTCCAGACCTTCAGCTCTGCAGAAAGACATTCATTTCTCTTCGTTATGTTTGCAGCTGACTCCTCAGAGAGTGGTCTCACATCGCAGGAAGCAGAGACACAGATGGACTTATTGCCAAGCCTCCTGAAACAAACCCCACTAACCTTGGAGCTCTTCCCAAACCATTCTGAAAACCTTAGCAATTCGCAAAGGGTAAGGTTCACTCACTATAACACAAGGTTGCATGTTTATTCTGAGAGTAATTGAGAAGATGGTTTCAGGTTTGTATTTAAATGTGTGAGGGAGTGTCCACGGATGAACACACATCCCAATCCTTCCCCCACCCCCTAAAAATAAGCTTAGTCACTCCATTTCATTAGCAAGGTTTTTGATAATTCATCCTACTTCTCTCCACTTTCCTACTTAGGAAATGCTGCATGTTATGGCATTATTTGGGTGAGATGTTAAACTGAGGTGTGTGATTTCTTGCTCCTGAATTTAAGATTAAAGGTTTTACAATGCTATTTATAAGAGACTTCTCTCTGTAACCTGGCCAACATACATCCCTAAATTAAGGCCACTGAAAATTGGCCATTTATCTCATATCTATTATGTGCAAACCACCTGCCATGTTTTCTTGTATATTAGCAGTCCCCACTTCTCAAAGTAATTGTCATCATGAATCAGTGTGAACAGTCTCTCTTGAATCAATATTCTGAGTTTAATGCTGATACTACAGGTGCAGGACTGAGGGAGTGCTGTACTGTCATAGATGTTATATTTCAGTTGCATTCTAAAGTGGATGTAAAATATCCCTAGGAATTCTCCACAGAGGAACGGGTCATGTCTTCGTCAATGCATTGTGCCATATATGTATATCCCTCAGATGACATCCCTGAAAACAACTGTCAGATCATTCTTCTCACAGTTGTTCCTGGGATCATAACTTTTTTTTGTATTCATTCGTGGGATGAGGGCATTGCTGGCTAGGCCAGTATTTATTGCCTATCCCTAAGCGTCGACCACATTGCTGTGGGTCTGGAGTCACATGTAGGCCAGACCAGGTGAGGATGGCAGTTTCCTTCTCTAAAGGGCATTAGTGAATCAAGTGGGTTTTTTTGACAATCAACAGTGGATTCATGATCACCATTAGACTTTTAATTCCAGGTTTTTATTGAATTCAAATTCCACCATCTGCTGCAGCTGGATTTGAACCCAGGAAGTCACCTGAAATTACAAAAACAAAGTTGCTGGAAAAGCTCAGCAGGTCTGGCAGCATCTGTGAAGGAAAAAACACAGTTAACATTTCGGGTTCGGTGACCCTTTCTCAGAACTGATGGTGGCTGGGAAAATGTCAGTTTATATGCAGAAAATAGGGAGGTGGGTGGGATAGGGAGTAAACGATAGGATAGAGCCCAAAGAGAGAGAAAGACAGTTGGATATGCAAAGGAGTTTAGGCCCTAAAATTATTGAACTCAACATTGAGTCCGTAGGGCTGTAGAGTCCCCAAGCAGAAAATGAGATGTTGTTCCTCCAGCTTGCGTTGGGCTTCGCTGGAACACTGCAACAAGCCAGAGACAGAGATGTTGGCTAGGGAGCAGGGTGGTGTGTTAAAGTCGCAGGCAGTGGTAGTTCAGGGTCTTTTTTTGCGAGCAGAGCGTAGATGTTCTGCGAAGCGGTCGCCAAGTCTACGCTTCATTTCCCCAGTGTAGAGGAGACCACATTGTGAGCAGTGAATGCAGTAGATTAGATTAGGGGAAGTGCAGGTAAAGCGTTGCTTCACCTGGAAGGTATGTTTGGGCCCTTGGTACTGGGGAGGGAGGAGGTAAATGGGCAGGTGTTGCACCTTCGTCGGTTACAGGGGAAGGTGCCCTGGGGCTATGGGGGGTATTGGAGTTGAAGGAAGTGTAGACCAGGGTGTCCTAGAGGGAACGGTTCCGCGGAAGGTGGACAAGGGCGAGGAAGGGAATATGTGTCTGGTGGTGGCATCTTGCTGGAGGTGGCGGAAATGGCATCTGATGATCTTCTGGATGTGGATGCTGGTGGGATGGTAAGTAAGGATAAGGGGAACCCTATCGCTGTTGTGGGAGGGAAGAGAAGGGGTGAGGGCAGAAGTGCGGGACATGGGTCAGACCTGGTTTAGGGCCCTGTCGACAAGGGAGCTGGGGAATCCTTGGTTGAGGAAGAAGGTGGAACTTTGGACTAAGTCACCTGGGTTTCTGGATTAACAGTGCAGTGATGATACCACTAGGTCGCTGCCTCCCCATGCAGACATGTTGCCATGTTTTGTCTGTGTTATGCAGTGACCTCACTTGAAGAACAGTTTATTTGAAAGTAAAGTATTTTGGCACATCCCACAAGATCTGAAGAATGGTATATAAATACAAGTTATGCTATTTTACTGTGAATCATTGAAGCTGTCACTCCATTTTACTGATATTATTTTTCCCTTCTAAAGCTGAGTCCTACACAGAAATCGAAGAGGTTGCCACTTGGACGTACTGTCCCTCCACTGGGTCCAGAAACAAAGGTCATTGTTGTGTGGGTGGAACGCTTTGATGACATAGGTATAGTATATCTGAGAGGCTGCATTACTGCATTACCAAATACTGCTTTGTATCACTGATCCCCTTTCAGTTGTACAGTTTTTATTCACTTGGCTCGTACTCAGAAAAAGATATTCTAAATTTCATTATGAAAGGAAAGTGCCTAATTTCTACCCCACTGCAAAATTCCAGTGAGTGTCTGACCAGGCCTGTGCTCTCTCTTGGGGATCAAGTAAAATGTGAAGCAACAGGATAATGGAGTTGAGGCAGTAAATCAGCAGAAATCAAAGTAGGCTTGATCTCTGTTATCATGTTCTTGTAGATTCTCGTGTTCTCACTTCCTGCCAAGTAATGTATGTACCAAGTCCTGTCAACTTAAGAACAAAAACAGAAGTTGCTGGAAAAGCTCAGCAGGTCTGGCCGCATCTGAGGAGAAAAAAATCAGTTAATGTTTCAAGTCTGGTGACCCTTCCGTTTCTGAGGAAGGATCACCGGACCCGAAACATTACATCTGATTTTTTTCTTCACAGATGCTGCCAGAGCTTATGAGCTTTTTCAGCAACTTCTGTTTTTGTTTCTGATTTGCAGCATCCACAGTTCTTTCAGTTTTTATTCTGTCAACTAAAGACTTCTTCAAGCATTTTACAGCATTGCCCAAAATCTCTTCTGCTGATGTGGTTTAATATGTCAAATATTTGGTAATCTTTTTCTAGAGAATTTTCCTCTCAATGATCTTCTGCCAGAAATCAACACTGGAGTAGAGACCACTACAAACAGCAGCACCTCTCTCAGGTACTTTCTTCAAAGCTTCAACTTTAGCTGTTGATAAAGAAAAAAAATGACAGAATTGACCCAGACTAGTTGAGACCCTCTTTTCACTCAGATTTTGAGCAGGAATTTCACTGGCTCTGTGTTAGGCGACAGAGGAAGAATTTGTTGCTTTGTGATGGAAACCACATCAGGATATTAGAAGCAAAATCAGAAATTGCTGGAGAAATTCAGCAGACCTGGCAGCATCTGTAGAAAGAAAGCAGAGTTAACATTTCAGATCCATTGGCCCTTGGACTCGGAACGTTGACTCTATTTTCTCCTCAGATGCTGCCAGACCTGCTGAGTTCCAGCAAATACTGTTTTTGTTTCAGATCTCCAGCATCCACAGTTATTTGTTTTTCATTAGCTTATTATTTGGGGCTTACCTTTGCTACTCCTGGAAGATGGGTATATCACATTTGTAGCTCAGAGACAGTATGTGCACTATTAAATGTTGTGCCAAGACTCAGTCCTGCATGGAGTATAACCATTAAGAGAATTTCTAGAGTTGATTTTACTGCTATTTTTGGGTGTGTTTCTGCCTTTGTTCTCATTTTGGTTGTCCATTTGTTTGATTGGATTTAGCTTTTGGCCTCTTTTAATGTGTTAATTTATGTTTTGACCTCCCTACTGTCGAAAGGTACCTTGCTTGAAACAGTTGCAATGTGAGTGTTCATTTAGGAATTTCCTTTGCAGACAGAGGATGAAAAATACGTTTGTGCTGATGATTGAGACTAACTAATTTCACCAATGCCCATCTCTGAAATTTCCTAATTGATGGGTCTAGGGCCGGATTTACGATCGCATTTTGGGACGGCACAGTGGTTCAGTGGTTAGCACTGCTGCCTCAACACCAGGGACCCAGGTTTGATTCCACCCTCGGGCAACTGTTTGTCTTTGCACATTCTCCCTGTGACTGCGTGGATTTCCTCTGGGTGCTCCGGTTTCCTCCCACAGTCCAAAGATGTGCAGGCTAGGTGGATTGGCCATGCTAAATTGCCCGTAGTGTTCAGGGATGTGTAGGTGAGGTGGATTAGCCATAGGAAATGCAGGGTTACAGGGATAGGGTAGGGGTGGGTGGGTCTGAGTGGGATATTCTTTGGAGGCTTCAGTGTGGATTCGATGGGCTGACTGGCCTGCTTCCAAACTGGTAGGGATTCTGTGATTAAAAAAATCTGACCTGATTCTGGCACTCTTCCATGACATAAGAAAATTTTGTGGCTACCTATCTTTTCTGTAATTTAGGAACTTGAGCCTCTGGTGAATGAGTGTCTATCTGTGCCATCTGGACTGAGCATTTATCATTTCTCTGGTCTCATTATTTTAGGACCACTACATCAGACAAGGATGTGCCGGTCATTTTCATCCATCCCCTGAAGACTGGTCTCTTCAGAATAAAAGTTCAAGGGGTTACAGGGAAGTTCAGTATGGTGATTCCATTGGTCGATGGAATGGTAGTGAGTCGGCGGGCATTGGGTAAGGATGCCAATTGGCAGAGAATTAAATGTGTTATCTTATGTTTTGACACCAAGTGAATGATTATATGCCTACACAAGCGAAAAGCTCGTACTTTTAACCCAAACTGCATTGCGTTATTGCCATTCACTTGGGTCATGAAAAAAATAGGAACGATACGGACAATGTGAATATTGCAGAACCAGTGCAAAATGCCCCTTGAGTTGCAGGTGCAGTGTTCCACTTGTGGTTTCCCTCTGTGTTTCCCATCTTTACCATGGTTCACTTGATCACTGAAATGATGCAGAAAGTCTCAGGTTGCATTTATGTCATTGGGTTTGGCCAAAGGGAGATGCATGCAGCCCAATATTGACGCAATGATCATTTGCACCAAATAAAATCCCTTGCTCCCAAAACAAGTTTCTTGCCAATTATGCATGTGATATTGCTTTGTGTGGTCCCTGTGATGGTCTTGTTCTATCACATTAGATGTGGGTATCCATATTCTGATACTGAGCTGTGTTACGGCTGTACAATCACCCGTTTGTTAAAACATCCCATCCCACTGTTGTTTCACTAACAAATAATATAACTTGGGTTGGGAAAGACTGCATTGATGCACTTTCAGCTGTTGTTACCATCAACAGATTCCCCCAGAATCAACATGCTGGGTGTTACCATTAACCAGAAAATGAATGGGACAGGCCACATTTTGAGAGGTGGTCACACTTCAGCTGGAGGGATTAGTCCCCTGTGGTTCCACTCTCAAATCGGGTTTCCATTTTGATGTCAAGGTGACGGGTGTCACTGAGTAGCTTCAAGGCATCCTGAAAGGGGAAGGGTGCTAAGACAGAGATCATGGTACACATTGATACCAACGATATAGGCAAAATATGGGATGAGGTCTTGCATCAAGGTGTGTAGATGCGGATAGTGCAGTTGGTGTAGTTAACATGGATTGCAGCAAAACTTTTGACAAGGTCCCACATGGGAGTCTGATAAAGTTAAAAGTACACAGGATCTGAAGCTTGGATCCAAAGTTGGTTTAGTGACTGGAGACAGAGGGTGGTGATAGAGGCTGTTTACGTGACTGGAGGCCAGAATCCATTAGTGTACCACAGGTACTGGTGATGGGTCCCTTATTGTTCATGATATAAATCTACAATGCAAATGAGACTGTAGAGGGTATTTGACAAGTTTGTGTATGACAGAAAGATTAGCCGGCTGTTGACAATGAGGAAGAGGGCCTTGGGTTACAGGAGGATATGGATGGATTGGTCAAATAGGTAGATCAGTAGCAAATGGAATTTAACTGTGATAAGTGTGAGGCTTGAGGAATCTTTTTTTCCACTTAGAGGATGGTGGGGATCTGGAATGCACTGCTTCGGATGGTAGATGAGGCTGGAAACCCCTCAACCTTTGAAACTTTAAACTAAAGGAAAAAAGATTTGTTTTAAGTAAAAATGACCAGTACTTATTGACCTTAAAATTAAATACTTTGTGATGTCTCATAATCACTAATTGAGAGAAATCAGTTTTCAGCATGAGGAAGGCACAGCAGCATCCCGCGCCCCCACCCCCAACCATGTTGACTCTTGCTATAATCTCTAATCAATTCAAAAACCTTCCCCATGACTGACATCAAGCTGACCTATACTTTCCTGCTTTCTGCTTCCCTCCCCCTTGAATAGAGGGGTTATATTTGCTACTTCTAATCCAATGGAACGTTTTCTGAATGCAGGGAACTTAGAAAATTAGCACCAACGCATCATTAGCAAGCTTTATTGGCTTATGTGAACAGGCACTCTGAAGTACCTAGCACACTTTTCTTACTCCCATTACCTTTGGACAGTTCCTTGATAGCTTTGCACTCTTTTTGAGTTTATGTGCAAGCTTACATTTTCTGCATTCCCTGAATCCCAAGGGGTGCCTCAGCTTCACCAAAGATGTCCACAACTCATATCTGCAGGGGTACTTCAAATCTCCAAGTGCTATCTTGACTATCTAAGAGAAATGCACTGAACAGAACTGCTTTAACTTGGTCTAATCTCCATATACCAGCTTACAGACACCAGGGACTCAAATCTGATTTCAATAGAAACAGCTTATCATATAAATGGCCTCCAGGAATTACACATACACAGCCCACCCCCAACCCTGCCCCTGTGTATATGCGAAATGCCCTGGTTCAGGGACAGGACTGTGAATTCCCAATTTCTTTCAGTATTTTTGCCACAGAGATGCATTCTGTTGTGGTGGAAGTGACCTAGTTGAGCATGGCTTCTTGTCCCAAACCTGTCCACTCAAACATATCTCCCTCGCTGTGAATCTGGCGTATAAATGTCAGCAGGCCCTTTTGCTCGAGAATGGCTAACTATTCTGGCTGGTGCATATTGTGAAGAGGGGATGCTGACATGTGGTGTGGTCTGTTGGTGATGAATGGTGTATAACAAACAGATTTGACTGGATATCTACAGCGTTGAAAGAGGAGTCAGTCTGGAGCTGTGAACAGGTTCACAGGCTCCCATATGGAAAAGAGAGATTTAGGACAGATGCCAGACTGATGAACAGATGGTAAGCAACAGCTGAAACCAGTTTCTGGGGAAGAGTGCAGTTGAAACACTATTTGAGACAGCTGGATGTTATAATTCAGGAGTGATAAGTAGGTTTGGTATTAAGATTAGCTTTCGATGAATTCCTCTTACTCTAGGTACGATATTGTGGGTATGGAACTGACAATCAGAAGAAATAAACTAACTGGAAGAATAAAAGTAACTTGAAAAGAAACTGCTTTGATATGTAAAAGTGACAGATGCCCTAGTCTCAGATTTTGGGTGTCACAACATTTAGGCTGGCATTTATTACTGATCCTTGAGTAGTTGGTGGGACTGGAGACTGCATGTATAGATTCTAACCAAGTTAGAATGGAAAGTTTCACACTCAAAAGAATAACAGTGAACCAGTTGGATTTTCACAACAGTCTGACAGCTTTATATATTTCTCTTAAATTGAGTAGGAGAGGTCTTTGACTGAAACAGTCATTCCCAGACACTGGAAGCAGCAAGTATGATGGGGATTAAATGGCTTTTACTTGCAATGCATTCTTAAGTTGCACTTGTGTCTGGTGTGTCATGCAGAGTGCCCAGCGTCGGGGCATCAGAGTAAATGGTTGCATGGAAAGAATGGAAATTATGGTCCCCAATGAAATATAAAACCATGTAACAACCTTTGTGATGTTTCCACACTCTTTATTTCAGGGTTTTTGGTCCGCCAAACCATTATAAACATCTGCCGAAGGAAGAGGCTGGAGAGTGACTCCTACAACCCTCCCCATGTGAAGAGGAAGCAGAAGATAGTGGATATAGTCCACAAGTACCGCAACAAGCTCCTGGAGCCAGAGTTTTACACCTCACTGTTCCAGGAAGTGGGGCCAAAATCTCTGAACCCGTAGACACACTGAGATCTTTGCCGAGAGTATTTATAAGCTATTTTACTACTTAGTCAGGCACTTGGCTACTTGCGAATGTGATGTTATGCACCGACTGGTATCCAGAGCTCTGGAAAGCAGTATATCCCAGCTGGTTCTGTGTAAATGTGTATTAAGGACGTAATGTTGATTTTTGAGAAATATATAAAACCCATTTTATACTGAATTGCAAGACAGCCTTACTGAACATAACCGAATTTCTGTACAATACTTGAAATCTGTATTATGTAGTGTATCTTCAATCAGCTGTGTGGCAAGGTGTGCAATAGTGCTGTACTCTTAGCTCCCAGACCTTGCACTGAATCTTACACAGATAGGCAGTAGCGGAGGAGAGAGTTTGGGGCAGTCTCAATCCACATACTGGTGGGAGTGATTCCACAGCACAAAACTGCCCTTACAGTTCATAGTTAGCACTAAAACTATAAGGAATAGGGCTAGGCCTTTGAAGGAGGGAGTTATCTTTTTCATTTGTCAACCTTGGTCAGTGATTTTCATCGTTGAGACACCAAGCCATGTTTAGTTGGAATCTTAGTTCCAAATCACATATTTCTTCTTTACCAGAAAGCACTTGTCCTGGAATCACCTTGCAGGAACACAAGCATAGTACTAGTGCAGTTATCAGTTTTGCACAGTACCCAGCATAAACAGTGGGTATCCCCTTGCTTTTTAGTCTTCCTGATGTCCAGCACTTATGAATATTTGTACTGAAAAGACATTTATCAGGCTGTGTGTTAATCCAAGAAAAATGAAAGGAATGTAGAAGGACGTTAGCCCCATAAGGAAATGGAGAGGTATGAGGGTGTGTGGAAATCCACATCTGCGGAGGTCTTGTTCAGCTGTGTCTAAACCAGTCCTTGTGGTCAAATCATTGATCCAACCCAGATAATTTGACTTCATACTCGCCAGTGGAATTGCTTTTTTTTGTCTTGGACTTTTATCCTGTAGGACCTCACTGCAATTTTCCCAAGTCTTTCCGTGTTCCTATCAACTGAGAGTGCGGTCAAATTTGCAATTTCTTTCTTCTCATAACAAAGCTAAATGATAATTCATTGTCCAACTGTGCATTGGTAGTTTGAATTGGTTCTGCATTAGTCTTCTCATGGTGCCTGGAAGCTGTCCTCAGTAATTCTGCCCTGAATCTAGATGCAAGAATTCCCTCTAGCCAGTTAAACTGACCAAGGACAACTTGAGTTCCTGGTCTGTGTGATGGAAACCACTGACCTAGGCTGTAGTTCAAAATAAAGTTATCCTGAAAGTGCCCGCATTTGTTTTAAAGCCTTCCACACACCACACAGAATTGTTTTTATTTTGTTCATTAATCACGAAGCATTTAAAATATTTTACAGGTTTTATTTTTATACTTCATTGCTTTTGTCATTGCCATTTGAGGAAATAATGGTTATTTTTAAAGTCGTGTCTTTGTTCCCAACACATTTGTCTGATTGATAAATGAGCTCCATTAGAAATCCTTACTCTGCAATCAATGATCAAACAAAGTGAATAATGTACGTTTAGTGAACAGTGATCAATGTGTTCAAACTCAAGTTCTTGCACTGTGCAGGGTCAAAGAATCAACATTCTCCCCTATCCTTCAACGTCCTTGGTGTTTATTACACTTACTGGTGAGCAGGCACCTTCCTACATTAGTTTTATGCTTTATTCTAGTTGGGTGTTTTTAAAAGAAAATTAAAGACTATTTTAAAAAATAATTTAAATGTCATGAATAGATTTCTTTCCCTAAGCAATTCATCAGCTGGTGCCAGGTGCTGTGCTGATAGCCGAGTTAGTGAATCTCAGCAAACGAGGGCAAAGCTGACCGATGAACCACCTTTGCTGATTGAGTGATACATTGGAGAGGCACCTTGCACAGGAACTCTGTCCACTCAGATCCCAGTAACCCTTTAATGCAACCTCCGAACAGTATCACTGTTTCAAGCAGTCAGCTTAATGGCAACCTAGGTTGGAGAAAGATGCTTGAAGTGCTGGAGCAAATACTAGAGCTTAGAGAGATTCGCCAGAGATTTTCTTTTAATTGCATGTCTCATGCCTGCCAGGAACAAAGGAGGAATGAGGGTGAATTTAAATTGATTGCTTTTCCCCTCTAAAGACCAAGGTGGCAAGACATAGTTTGATTTATTCCTTTTCCTTTTTACTCCTGTTCTTTACTGTGGCTGATTTCTGGTTTTTGAATCCCAGATACTTTGAGATAAACCCATAGCAAAATCCTTTTAATGTGAAAGAGTTTATTAACAGAACATTTAAAACATGGGAAATTGCTTTGCTACTTCATACATTACATACATACACACAACTACTCAGGAATTTAAGGAAGACAAAGGAGAAGTTTATAAATTACAAGTGTTAGGTAAATCCAGAGCTATTAAAAAAGGTTAATGTCCAATAATAGTTTCCTATTATTAATACTAATGAGCTGTGACCAGTAGACTTTCCTGTTTGCAATGTAGGCTTCTTTCCCACTAGCAAATTGGAGAATTAGTGATGGAATGTTCAAGCAAAGCTGCCAACTCAGCCTGGAGTCCTGCTTTTGACCTCTAGAGGTCAAGCAGCAACTCGCTTAGAATTCCAGAACTGTACATTTAAGCAATTCATCCAGTTTTGATTTCAACATACAACAAGGGTAGATATTTCAGGAGCTGAGGGGTCCACTCTAATGGGCTAATTGGAAGGTCATTAAGCTAACAGTGTAGCTATACCTCCCTCATTAGAGTTTCCTTTAGAAGGTGACGACTGTTAACGCATTTTTAGCATGGATTCCTTTATCCCGAGCTAACTGGAAGCAAGTGACTCACCTCCATGCCTTTCATCAGCTGGCATGTCTATGCACCGCAGTGGGTTCAGAAGTTTCTGGAAATATGATCATGTGATTGACCTCTGCCATTTTGAGTACCGCGAGGCTGTCTAAAGAAACAAAATTAAACATGAAAATATAGAATACAGTTTCCTTTTGAGGTTTCTTGTCATGCCTTCTGGCCATGTCATATCTGAAGAGCTATTCTGAATGCTCATGCTGCTGGACCCAGAGTTTGAGGTATTCAAATTGATTGGATAATGCACTATAACCTGCAAATTCTCTCCAGTGTTGATTCTTCAAAGAAGCCTGTTATCTGACCATATATAAAATTCAGTTTTCATTCCCACACTTAAACTCACTTGATGATTTGAATGATCTGAGGTTTGTAAATCAGCCTGGAATATACAAAATTCTTTTGATAATAAGCAGATGATCACCATGATGGAAATGCACAGCAAGTGAGAAAACAGTTTACTCTAATCTTATAAGTTGCCTCCAAGGAATGGATACATTGAATCCTACTCGACGTGGTTGCATGCCCTATCAATGAGATCCTCTCCGAGAACAGCCTAACTCAGCCATGCCCCTTTCTCTTCCAGGTTTTGTCTGACCTGTCCTTAGAATTTCTATTATTAAACTTTCCCCAGTTCAAGCTTTGAACATTCCGTTCACCCATAACCACTCTTCTTGCCCCCATCACTCACTCCCTTCACTTCTGATGTGCTTAAAGGGCTGAAGGTGAAATCTGATTATCTGTCTTTCACCTCATTGAAGTTGGGAGTTTGCTATGCATTAATTTCCTGTTGAGTTTTCAATATTGAAACATTGACCATGCTTTAAAAGTACTTCATTATCTGAAGCACTTTGAGGTACCTTTCATGAAATCATGAAAGGTGCTACATAAATGCATATCTCCTCACTGACAGAGTTGTCTTTGTGCCTATATTGGTGCTGCTGTGATTCTTGCAGTCTCGCTGTGTCCACATCAGTTTGGTCTTGCATCACCCACAGACTGATACTAGCAGACCAGTGAGATCTGTCTGTTCACAACTAACAGTCATTGACCCAACTCTAGATTCTCACTTTGTCCTGTTTCATTTTGATCACAGCTGAATTTATTTCTGATAGCTGTAACTGTCATTATCTGTAGTAAAGGAGTTTACTCAGGTAAGTAAAGATTGGACTGAAATCTTGTCTACATGCTTCTGGTAAATATTCTATTTTTGTTTGTGAAGTTAGAGGCATGGTGCTCTGCAAAGACACTGACTCTCCGTCTGGTATGTTGTTTAAGTGACGTGTCTTCCTGTGAGAGGCTGAATTGGAGTGTTGGGCTGTTGTTAGTTTTTGGGACATTGAGTCCAAGTCAATGAGCACTGTCCAATTGGAGTTGGTGAGTAGCATTCTCTACCACCTTGCTGCTCTTCAAACCCAGGATCAAGAAAACCATTATCCACTACAAGCAGCCGAAGTGAAATCAGTGAATTCAGCTCAAGCCTGGAATCTGACCTTGGACATCACAGGCATGTGTTGTGTTCCAACTTCATCACTATATTCCACTGTGCTGGGCTGCTGTTAGTAATACATAGTGCGAACAGTTGAGTACAGTTTGTGCAGAGTATTGCAGGGAACATTTACAGTCCATTGTGCGCAGTCCATTTGTTCAATGGTAAAGGCAGTAGTCTATAGATAGCCTGGATAGAGGCATTTTATTGTCTCATCTGGTCATCACTTGTGGTCACCTGTAGGATTTGTTTCTTAAACTGGGCTCCCTAAGTATGTCGACAGGGTTAGTCTCCAGTTCATACTGAACTGGATTCATTATATATGGAAGAATAATTGACATCTTACCAATTTGTGGCAGCTAAATAAAATCTGCTAACTCCTATTGCTAATGGTTCATATGTGTGAATATCAAAGGGCAGAGTTAGCAGTGATTCCCACTTGGTCAATGTTCATGTGGTAGAGAGAATGGACAATTTTGCAGTGAGGTGCCAAAGCGCACTGTAGATTTATTTTCCAGTATGTTGTCAACATTTTCAGTATTGAAGGGATCTGCCAGAGTTGGGCCTCAGTGAGGAACTGAGGTGCGAACAAACTGCTTACAAATTCAGCTTTAAGCTTCTGTCTCCAGCAGAAAACCATTTTCATTTTCTTTAGTCTTAAGTTCCCAAAACTGCAGCTTTAGTTTAAAACTTCAGTCAGACATGCTTCAGGTTTCTGTAGTGATCAGGATTTAACAGAAATGCTGTACGTTCATTAGAGTGAGGGAGATTGTAATGTTTAGACTCCAAATTAATATATTGAATTAAAGGAGGTTTACAGACTGGAAGACAGCCACTTGATCCATCGTCTATGCACCAGCTGCAGTGACCCTGCCTAATCACACTTAGCAGCATTTGGTCCAGAGCCTTGTGGGTTATGGTATTTCTGCAGCTGGTGGGACTGGGTGAGGGGGTAGATAACGGATTTTCTACTTTTACTCACAACTTGTCCCAACTCTCTGTGATACAGGACCAATAATCTGGGACCAGCTCTCCTACAGTGTCATGTGCCACGTTAGGAAGCATTCTCCCAGCACTAGGTTTCATTGTTTTTCTTTCTTTTGTCTTTCATGGCATGTGGCCATTGCTAAGTAGACAAACTTTTGCACATTCCTAATTACCCTCAAGTTGATTGGCTTGTTTGACCGTTTTGAAAGGCAGTTCACCACAGTCATATGTAGGCAGGTTTCCATCCCTAAAGAACATTAATGAAGCAGGTAAGTGTTTGTGATAATGGATAATCAATGAGAAATGTCATGGGGTTGAGGGGGCTGCCAAAACTTATACTCGCTTTCAATCCCAGATTTATTAATCAAGTTGAACTTCTATTTGCTGTGCTGGGATTTGAACTCCTGTCCCCAGGGTATTGCCCTGGGTTTCTGGATCACTAGTTTTTTATTCCTCTGTGGTATGTGGATGTTGCAGGTGGGGCTGGTATCTGTTACCCTTGAGCTGAGTTGCTTCCTCGGCCATTTCAGTCCTTACCACTAGAATTTCAGACTCCAGTTGAAAGTCAACCACATTGCTGCAACCAAGTAAGGACAGCAAATGTGACCTTCCCTAAACAACATTGGTGAACCAGATGGGTATTTTTGACATAAAAACAGAAATTGCTGAGAAATGTCAGCAAGTGTGACAGCAGTTACTGTGGAGCGAAAGCAGAGTTAACGTTTCAGATCCAGTGACCCTGCTTCAGAACTGGCAATTCTGGATTCAAAATGTTAACTCTGATTTCTCTCCACTGGTGATGCTAGACCTGCTGAGTTTTCCCAGCAATTTCTGTTTTTGTTTCTGATTTGCAACATCCGCAGTTCTTTGTTTTTATATTTGTTAGGTAGTTTTGACATGTGGTAATGGTTATCTGGTTACCATTAGACAAGCTTTGAATTCCAGATTTTGAATGCACAACTGTTATGATAGGACTCAAACCCAAGTCCCTAGAATATTTGGCTGGATCTCTAACTAATGACATTATCAGCAAACCAACTTCTTCCCCTCTTGACAAGGTATGAACTTGATTGTACGTGGTGAATGAAGCAAGTCATTAATATGCAGTCATGTTCTGTATGTGGCTGGAGTGATGGAGATTTATATCTACATTGTGACATTGGGAACTGTGCAGTAGGCAGGTAGTCAGACCTGATCTCCCTGCATCCTCACACCACTCTTGATATGAGGCTTTAAGATCCTCTTCTTCAAAAGCAAAGCAAAAGTTTGACCGGCTAAATTTCCTTTTACTAAAATTCTTCCCAACTCTCCTTCCTTTACGGAGAGAGAGCCCTTTAATCCAGTTTATACTGGCAACATAATTTACTAATTCATAATTTCTGGCAAATCCACAGAAAATATTCACCATGACCATAGTCAAGAAAAAGATAACAGGACAATGGCACTTTAGCCGAGTGCATGATTCAGAAGAAATTCTCAGTTTTTGCACTTCTTCCAATGACGTTTCCCCCGATGTCTTTAGAAAATTAGTCTTTCTGGGGTTAGATTTTATAATTCAAAGGTTGAGCTTGGTGTCTGAGAAAAATAGTGTGCAATCATTGTGAAGCTGTACATCAAAGTAATCTAGTATGAAGGATAATTTAAAAGTATTGTATCTCCTGTAAATAAAGCTGACTTCAGTTGAGATGTACAGTAGAAAGGAGGGTTTCTGTAAATAGTGACCAGCAGGCCAGTTTGTTTTTGTCTTCAGTACTTTATCTCTCTGCCTGCTAGGGTCGACAAAAAAAATCTTTGTATTTATGCCAATTCAATGTATCAAAGAGAAATGTACTGATATTGAATGTATCTCATTATATTCAATAAATCGTTGAGGAGGTTCTTTACCCCATACCCTTATTGGAAAGGTCTGACGACAGCAATCTGAAATTTAAATGGATTCTAAGCAAAATTTCAAAGAAATTTCAGCTGAAAGCCTTTTTGTTTGAGATGCAATTCCATGTTATTAGCAATGAGTGTAGATGGGTGGTTTGTGAAACGTACCACAAGTACAATTTCTACAGCAGTCATTTGGTGTGCAATGTGAAGGGGGAGCCCTGGTAGATGATTTTATACTTTCCTCACCCAGGGGTTGCTGCACATCAGCTGATATGTGAATCGAGCCTTTGCAATTAGGTAGTCATTTTTGACAATCTGCCTGGTGCGTGTGGTCTACTCCACTTTTTCATCATCACTGCATCAAAAATCTCAGATTGTGGGAATACCAGCAGCACCAGGACTGCAGTGGATCACACATATCAGCTGGTACTGACTATAGGGCACTGGGCATCAAGTTTGCTAGTGTCACACCAAGGGGACTATCTGGGAATGACTATTTCAAACAAACCCAACAATTGATATTGCTCCGAAAAACAGCAAATTAATGTGGAAATATCCCAAATAAGATATTGCATACATTCAATTTGTAAATGCAGTATTTGAAACCTTCCCTGTTTTGTTTGTATGCCTCAGCAAGATTCCATTTAGTTTTGTTTTGCTGCTGATTGAAGGTTGATCTGTTTGATTAAAGTGAGGAAGTTATCTTTTTCTCTTTCGCTGAAGTTTTACTTGTCTTTTTCTCCTCAAGGCATCATTTCTTCAAAAGTCTTTTGTTTCTCCAGGAGATAGCAATATCAGAAATGGGACGCTGGGAGTCATGATCCTTGCTGTAGAACTGGCACAACTGAAGTTTGTCAGCTTTCTCTGGTCAACCTTTCACTAAATTCAATGCAACTGGATTAGTCAGCTCTGGCCTTGCTGGTCACTATTCAAATATCAAATCCCTCATCTGTCTTCAAATGACTTCTTGATTTCAGTTGACCATTATAAACTTCCCAGCTCTAGATTACAATCCTTCACTCTTTCAAACTGTTATTTTTAATTCATTCATGGAATGTGAGCATCTAGTAGTTATTGCCCATCCCTAATTGCCCAGAGGGCACTTCAGAGTCAACCACATTACAGTGTGTCTGGAGTCACATGTAGGCCAAATCAGTAAGGAATGCTGATTTCCTTCCCTAAAGAACATTAGTGAACCAGATGGGTTTTTTTCCTGGTAATGGTTTTGTAGCCATCATTCAATTCTTACTTCCTTTTAAAGAACTCAAATTCCTCCATTAGCTGGATCTCTAGATTAATAGTCTCGCAATAATACCACTAGGCCATTGCATGCCATCCTTTTCTTTTGTAGTGGAGCCCCTGGTCTGGGTTTCTCTCCTAGACTATATTTCCATTTGCCTTTCTCCCACTCCCCAACCTCCTTCCATTACTAACACTGCCACATTTGACAGCCACCTCAGACCTCCTGGAGAATTCCTCCAGTCCTGCTGCTGAACTCTCATCTTTCTGTCATTTGTCTCCTACTCCTCCTTGTGCCCTTTCTGAGCTCATCTAAACTCTTCACCACCCAACATGCAAATAAGGAAACCAGAGTAGATCATTCCACCTACCTTTTGAGCCTGCTCTGCAATTTAATAAGATCAGTGCTGTAGCTTTAGCTCCACTTTCCTGTCTCCCAGAACCTATGTCAATAGAATATCTAACACGGCCTTGTATATATTCAATGACCCAGTCTTCACTGCTGTCTGGGAGAGAGAATTTCAAACACAAACAACTCTGAGAGAAGAGTTTTCTCCTTATCTCCAATTTAAACAAGAGACCCTGTGTCTCTATTTCTACATTCCACTACAAAAGGAAGCGTCCTTTCAGCATTTCCCCTGTCCAGCCACTTCAGCATCTCTTGTGTTTCAAGGTGACCACTTCTCATTCTACTGAAATCCAGTGGGATAGGCCCAGCCTGTTCAACATTTTCTTCTTCAGAAAAAGCCCCTCATCCTGGGGAGTTAGCCAAGTGTGCCTGTGAAAGTTCGCTCATCCTTAGGGTGACAAATCTGCACTGCACTCCAGGAGTGGTCTGATCAATACTCTGTGCCATTGCAGCAATATTTCCCTACTTTTAAACTCCATCTCTGTTGTAATAAGGGCCAACATCCCATTTGCCTTCCTAATAATTTGTTGTACCTGAATGCTAATGACAATGATGCATGTAGAAGGACAACCAGATCCCCCTGTGCTGCTGCATTTTGCAGTTTCTTCATTTAAATAATGTCCTGTTTTGCTATTCTTCTTATCAAAGTAAACTACCTCCATTTTCCCCACATTCTCTTCCATCTGCCAAATCTTTGCCCATTCAGTTAACCTACCTGTATCTCTATATCAGAATCTTGAGAAATTATAACTAATGTGTCCAATATCTCTGCAGCCACTTTCTTTAAGGATGGAAGCCATTAGGTCCACAAGATTTTTCTACCTTAAATCCCGTACTTTTTTCTCTAGTAATTGTTTTAAGTTCCTCTGTCTCTTTGGCTTTTCATATTTTTGCTAGTTTTGAGATGCTTCCTATGTTTCAGTTGTGAAGGCAGATACTTGTTTTTAAGTCTTTGCCATTTCCTTATTTCCCACCATTAATTTCCCCAGGCTCAGCCTCTAAGAGGAAATGCTTACTTTCACAACACTCTTCCCTTTTATATATTGCAGAAGCTTTTACGTTTCTTGCTAGTTTTCTCTCAAATTCCAACTTCCTCTTCTTATAAGATTTTGTCATCCCTTGTTGATCTTTAAAACATCTCCAATTTTCTGTCTAATGTGAAACATCATGGTATTGTGCACCTGTCCTATCAATTTGACATGATCTTTAATATCCTTGGGAACACATGTGTGTTGCATCCTCTGGTACAGCTTTCCTCCAACTTTCCTTTGTTAAGAGTCATGAAACGTCTCTGTGAATAATCACTACTGCTTCTCTATCATCTTACCATTTAACCTACTTACCTTGTCAACTTTAGCCATTTCTCTTTGCATGCTCTTGTAAATGCCTTTGTTTAACTTCAACGCATGAATTAAGGACTTTCATTTCTCACTCTCCTAAATGTGAGTGTCTTATCATAATTTGATTCACTCTTGCCTGGAGGAACCTTTACTATGAAGTCTTTAGTCATTCCTGTCTCATTACACACCACCACTTCAAAATAGCCTATTTTGTTATACATTCCAGAATATATTATTCTAAAAAGTTGCCTGAAATACACTCCATTAACTCATTCTTCAGGCTCTGTGCACCATTGATTTGTTCAATCAATGTGAAGATTGAAGCCACCCATGGTTATTTCAGTACCTTTATTTCAAGCACCCAATTTGTCTTGCTGCGCACTCAGGCCTACTGTGTACTTATTGTCTGGGCTTGTAGACTACGCAAGTGCCATGTCCTCTGCTATTTCTTTTTTTCCTACCCAAATTGACTCCCTGTTTTAGTCTTCTAAACCAAGATCATTTCTCACTATTGTCCAAATCTCATCTTAACAGTGCCACCCAATCATCTTTTTCCTTTCCTGCCATCCTCCTGAAATGTCAAATGTTCTGGAATAATCAGCTGTCAGCCTTGTCTGTTTCACAGCTGTTCACTAACAGTTATTGTATCATGCTCATTCATTCCTATTATGCATCAGTTCATCCATCTTGTTCCAGGTGCTGTGTCCCTTCAGGTAAAGACATTTTCATAGACTCCCTACGCACTGGCAACAGGCCATTTGGCCCAACAAGTCCACACCACCCTTCCAAAGAGCATCCCATCCTCCTACTTTTTCCCCTATAACCCTGCATCTCCCATATCTAATTCACCTAATTTACACATCCCTGGACTCTACAGGCATGGCCAATCCACCTAACTGACACATCTTTGGACTGTGGGAGGAAACTCCTGCAGACAATGTGCAAACTCCACACAGACTGTCACCCGAGGGTGGAATCGACCCCAGGTCTTTGGCACTGTGAGGCAGCAGTGCTAACCACTGAGCCACCGTGTTAATTGTGTCTTTTACTATTTTTCTTTACAGTGACCCTGTTTGCTGGTGAACCCTTATGTTTGTGTGCACTGTCCCTTCCTGTCTCATTCTAGTCAACCATTTTTTTTTCTGCTCTGTCTTGTCTCTATTCTCTTAAATATCCATATCTTCTCATTCCAATCATTCTCACACGCTTGGACAGGCACACTCTAAAAAGATGAAACACTCTACATTCTTGGTTAAAGAAAACCTTGGTCCCAGTTCAGTTCAGATGAAGGATGTGTCAGTGATATAGCTCCCAGTTCCCTCAGTCCTGGGGCCTGTGCCCACTTCCCCATCACCAATTTTTGAGCCAAGTATTTAACTCTGACCTCATTTGTTCCGCACCACTTTACATGGGACTTAGTAGTAATCCAGAGATTGTTACCTTTCAGGTTTTTTTTACATTTAGCTCCTACATCTCTTCCTTTGTTCTACTTCTGCCATTACATACATAAGAGCATAAGAACCAGGAGCAGCGGTAGGCCATCCAGGCCCTCGAGCCTGCCCCGCCATTTAATAAGATCATGGCTGATCTTTTTGAGTCTCAGCTCCACTTACCTGCTCCTCACCATAACCCTTAATTCCTTTACTGTTCAAAAATTTATCTAGCCTTGCCTTAAAAACTCTCAGTGAGATAGCTTCAACCGCTTCACTGGGCAGGGAATTCCTCATGGGCCACAATAACTTGATTCTTCTCCTCCCTTTGCAAATTCCCCTCCAGCTCTGACAAGAAGTCTTAACGCTGATAACCAAGCAGGGCTAACAGCCTTTGGGATTTGTGCTGTTGCTCACAGTGAGCAATTTCTATCTCACCAACTTTACTATCCCTGCTCCAACTGTTGCCCCTTTATTCCCCTTCCTCAGCTGCCCCCACCCCCACCCCCACCCAGTTTACACATCTCCTTCTGTTGCCTTTTTCCCCACACATGAGCATACAAATACGGAGTGAAAATAGGTCACTTGGC